GAATTCATTTCTCGAAAATTAGTTTTTTTCCCCTTCCCTTCTTATTCTAACGTCAAAGTATTGTGCAACATTAACACATCATAAAATGATGGATTTGTTCTGACTGTTTATTTTTTAAAGAGATGTATCATTTAATAAAATCTTAAAATGTAACTTTCTTCTGGATTAGAAAGCGGAATCCACTCTATTCATTATGTATTTTTATCTTCGATTGTCTTGAAATTTTCTTTATTTAATTTCCTACTTAAAGTCCTATTTAATCATTTCGATTAGGTGTTCAATTTTAAAAATAACATCAAATGTTAATCTCACTAGTAATAATGAACGAAAATTGTATTAATATGATAGTTTTTCATTCTACTTTTTAAATTTTTATATCCTTATTTTTTGTAAGGTTTGTGTTGTATTTTTCTTAGTAATCATTCTTTTTCGTGGTATCATTCTTTTTTAAAAGGCGATAGAAATTCGAACGTAGCTATATCTATAGTTATGGAAGTGTTGCTGGTGCAGGGTCTTATACACAGACTGACTTTTCGATCACATCATATTTCTATTTAAAAAAAAATCCATGTCTTGCGATCTGGGAGGTCACATCATTCGCTGGAACTGTCCAAAATGTCCCTCAAATCAATCGGGAATGTTTTTAGCCTTATGACATGGCACATTGTAATTCTGTAAAATTCTATTGATGTATTCAAGAAGTTTGTTTCTTCGTAGTTAAGTATAACTATTTCCAATTTAATGGTTGGTTCAGTTTAAACAGAGGATACAGCCCACGTGATGTAAAAAGACTGTACACCATTATAAAGCCATCATTAATTTGCATAGTGTTTTGTTGATAATTTGGGTCCCTATCCTCGTGGAGTTTGCGCCACATTCAAACCTTACCATCATTTCTTACCAACTAGAATCGTGTTCATCTGACCAAGCAATGGCTTTTCCCCCCAATCGGTATATTCACGAGCCCAGAAAATGCACTGTTATCGATGGCATGTCGTTAGTAAAGGCATGTATCGATTTTTTGCTATCATGGCCCACCGACTGTACGGTCCTCCTGTTAACTTGTCTTTTCCCTATCCCACATTGATTGTTGCTGTTATTTAACGCACAGTGTTGCATGTTTGGTAACACATACATATTCTCAGACTCGTTGGTTTCTATCATGAAGCGGATTCGATGAACTACCGCTTTGACAATGATAGGAGGTAATATCTGAAATTCTTAACTCTTGGGACTCTGTTGACATTGATTATCGAAGAATGTTACATTCCCTAACAATTCTCAAATTGGAATGCTCCTTGCGTTTGGCTCCAACTTGCATTCAGTATACAAAATCTTATAATCACGGTCCCAGGAGCGTGATTATAAGACGTCAGAAAACTTTTCACGTGAATCAAATTAAAATCCATTATACATTTTTTACGCAATGGATATTTGCATATTGCTATCCCACGCGACTTTTGGAACTTCAATGAATGTTGCTCTCTGCAAGATAATGAGATCAGATTGTAATATTAATGTTAAAACATATTTCTGTATAAAAAAAAGTGTTTCAACTTTGACGCCTATTCTTAAGGGGAGACAGCCGCCGGCCACAAAGTTTGTGACCATGACCATTCAGCTACCGGGGCCGCATAGTAAGAAGGGGGAAAATAATAGAAGAGGTGAGAAGTACAGTTCCATTAAGAAATCACGACAATCAATAAATGCCATTTATTATTTCGCCTTGATTTTTTAAAAATAGTGCGTAGTTTAGAGTCTTGTGTATGGCAGATATGTGAATGATTAAGAAGAGAATCTTTTTGTCATATATTAACATTCTTTCCTACAAGTATAATACATATTCCCTTATGTTTTTTTCATTTATACACCAGCTGCTTCATGTAGTTTCGAATCCTGTTTCATGCCTTACATCTAAATTTGCAAAATGTATTTCATTTAACCACACTTTAATCTAAGCCGTATTTTTTACCCCATTGTTTCCGCTACTGAAAATCAGATGCAGCTTTGAGTCGAAGGGGGGGGGGGAGAATCATTGGATGGAAGAAATTGAACATGATATTGACGGCTATAGCAGTTTCAGGTTCATGTAAGCATTTAAAAGTTTTTAATCCTGGTAAAATAAGTTAATTATTCACTTATTAGTTCTCATTAATTTTTTTTTTAATTTCGTAAATATCGGATATCGATAAACTATTTACTATATAAACTATACACTATTTTTTCACAAAAACGTGCTGAAAATTTGGGATGCAGCTTAGATTCGAATAAATACGGTAATTTTAGTTTAGTTAATGTTTGACTCTCTTCCTTAAAAGTCAGTCAATGGGTGAAGTTGGTCAATGTTAGGTTTCATAAGCTAATGTTAGTCTTTTCTATGTCGTATTTCTGTAAATGTCCTCTTCATTACTTATATAATAAATTCATTAATTATAACATTGATGTACCGATATATATTCTTTAAAAAAAAGAGTGTAATTATTTTAATACACATAGCTGATGTGTAGGATTTCTTTCAAAAGTAGTTAATGATTTTTTTAAAAAAAAATATCACGACACACTGTTTGAAAAACACTGCTATTATTTTTGATAGGCTTTATTTTAGGAAATTGCATATAATCACAGGAAATGTAAATATAATCATAATCTAAAATGGATGCACTTTTTAAAATCTGATGGTAAAAGCTCGTTTTTTAAAGATTTTTGACACGTAAATGGGGAACATGTTACCATTTTTGCATAACTTGTGTACTTGAATTTATGTCACGTTTCACCATGATTAATCACTTCTGTATTTAGTTCGACTTGGGTTATAAATATACTGTGCGATCCAGAATTGTATTTGCTAAGCTGCCGTGTGTATAAGGTAATCGAATAAAAGTCGCCAAATTTAGATGTTGCTCACCAGTTTATCAGAGCTATGTGTTTCGTCACGTGTATGTTCCACGAGAAAAGATCTTTTCGGAATCGGAACAATTGTTCGGAAAGAATTTAATACATTTTTCGAAAGATCGTGATATTTCTTCGTTGACTTTTGTAACATTTGTTCAAACGATATTTATTGCAATGATTTTCGTTTTATCTCTGTTTTGTTGAATGAAACTTTTTTTAGGAGAAATGAAAATCAATTTGTCTTCAATGGGAGATAACGCCTAGTTTTCTTATTAGAAATCATATCATACAGTAAAGGTATAATTATGGAAATTTAAGTTTGGAATTTTCCTGATGCAGTGACATTTAAAAATAGAATTTGTCGTATAATTAATGTTATTTTCGACTGAGAGTAATTAATCAGTGTTTCTTCGGAAATTTGCGTTAATTATAATTTGATTAAGGAATATCATGCACTTGTTAGAGATTTGTTTCTTATAATAAATTTCGTTGAAGGATTTTTTTTTTTATTTTTAAATTTCAAACAAGCATTTTTGTTTTGTTTCTTAAGAAGTATTTGTAAGCGGAAGTATTAATATTCCACTTAGTATTTATATTCCTTTTAGTATTTGGAAGTGTTTAATATTTAATGGGGGGGGGGGGGTGCTACAGTCGACTCTCGATAATTCGAAGTTGAAGGATCATGTGAAAAACTTCGAATTATCGAGAGTTCGAATTATCAGAAGGGTAGGAGAAACTCCCAAAATACACGAAGACAATTTTTTTCTAACACATTTAAATTTGAAATTGTGCAATAAAACAATTGTGTGTATGTACATTTGTGTAAAATTATTTTAAAGTATTTTTAAAAAGTACATATTATACAGTATAAATATTATACAGAAGTTAAAAACCTGTTTTAAAAGAATACATTAAAACAACTATTAAAGTAATACATACTGTACATAATTAATTTTTTGACGGAAAAACTTGTTATTTTTTTGTTTGTTTTTGTTTTATGGCATTCAATCTAACTTTGTCAATAGATTTTTCTACAATAAATGAAGCCAGAAAAACATCCACATCAACATGATTTTGAAGGAAAAAGTTGTGTAGTTTGTTTAGTGACACTTTAGCTCTTCTGTCAGAGTTATCGGAGTTAACTCTGATGGTCATCAAAGGGCTAGGGAGGTTACAGGGGAGGCTAGTAGAGACAATACAACACAAAACATGTAAGCTCGAATCTGTTTGCTACAGGATTCTACATGATAGTGTTTGAATTGTCGAGAGTTTAATAAGATCACTTCGAATTATCGCGTGTTGTATTCTGGCCAGCCACATATTTTACTTCGAAATATTGAGTGTACCAAAACGTATTGTTTAAGTTCGAAATATCGAGAGTTTTTCTAGGGGCTGAGCATATACTTTGAATTAGCGAGAGTCGACTGTAGTATATATTTATTATGAATAAAATAAGACGAGGGGATGTTTAGAGGGATTACATGAATATTTATCTGAGAATTAGGATTGAAATTTTACTGCTTTTCCCCTCTTTATTTATTATCTTATATAAAATTGATATTATCTACTAATTTAGGGATGGGCAATTGTTTTGGCTCGAGGGCCACATTGTGGAATCGGAGGGTACCGGAGGGCCGCACCTATTTAAAATGATTGCATTCATGAGTTTGCATCTCACAAAAGGTTTGTTGTTGCTTATGCCACCTGATCGACTGTAATATCAGATCAAAGTCCACGAAATTCATCACGGCTAAGGGCTAGATTTTTACGCCTATAGAAAGTTTAGAAAAGGTATAAATTGTACTACAACAAGTAATATATATAAACAAAATTAAGTCAATTCCTATTTAGGTCAACAAAGAAAAGTTTTATTTTAGTTACTTTTTATTAAATAGTTACAATTAATATAAATATGTATTTACATGCGACAGAATCCCAATATTAAGTGGCAAAATAGAAAGCGATTTTCCTTGCAATTTTCCATTTTCCTTACTATATAGGGTGTTGGACTATTATTTTTGTTTGTTACTATTTATTCATAAATTCAATTAAATTATTCCAATAAAAAATAGTATAGTAAAAAGAAATCACATTCTCAGATATTAGGTCATCCCAGTTGGGATTCAAATCCAGAAACTTTGGATTAGAAGTCCAACGCGCTATCCATTGCGCTACAGGGACACAATGAGCGGTTTTCCTTTTTTTATGGTGTTGTACTCTTATTTTTGTGTGTTACTATTTATTCATTAATTAAATAGAATTGATGAATTAATATTCGCAAATGTATCAACATCAAGTATCATTCACTACAAGTTTAAAAAAATGTATTTGAACTTGAGTGGATTATTAAAAAGTACTTTTTTGTGGGGATTGAGAAATTGAACAAGATATATATAAAATATACATAGAGAGAGTGTGAACTAATAGTAGGAATTGAAAAATCAATAAGTTAAATAAAATAGGGGCAGTTTTATTCAGTTCCTTTACTGTGCTAATTTCATATAATCTATACCTACAAGTGTATTTAATTTTAGAACCAGTTTAATGAGTCGAATGTACCCAGTGGCCCACACAAGGGGTGTCCTGGGGTCCGGACACTACCCAAAGCCCTTGAGTTTTTTCGATTGATGATAATCCTATATCTATATAACGTAAAATCTAATTAAGTACTTGTAATTAACAATTTATTTTATTAATTTATGGTAATTATTAATTCAATGATTTATTTTGTACTGTTTTTTGTTGACAAAATCAGAAGAATCAATTGATGTTGTCTTGAGGTATGATACGAGTTGGGGGACTTTTGACCGTGGACTCCCCCCTTCAAAATTTTTTGTGTGCGCTACTGAATGTACCCTATATTACGCCTTTCTACAATTTTTTAGAAAACAGGAGTGAGATTGCTCGTTGAAATTCTCATCACATCTTGCAAGTCAATGTCACCCAACAAGAATAAATGTGCATCTATATTTACTCTTGTTAATCTTCATTAAAAAAAAAGAGTATTTTCTTTTTAATATTTGATTTCTGTTTAATCAGGCCGCTATTTCTCACACCTGTACTAATGATTTATTTATTCGATTCGATACTGTTGTTTGCTTACAAAAACTTATCTTTGCAAAATGATAAATGTACAATTATTCAACTAGTTCTTTCAGGACCACCCATATTTATTACTCTTAAAATTGAAACTAACACTAGTTAGCAACTAGTGCTAGTAAACTAGAATATGTAGTTTAACTAGAATAGTTAGCACTATTCAAATGTCGACTAAAATCAAAGCTGTGATTTCTTATGAAAAGCGATTTAGTCTCTTCGCCCTCCTCTGATTTATGGCAGTCTAATGCGATTTCATTTCCGTATCAGGGGTCTTAGGCGCGTGACTTTCACCAAAGTCATTGTAATGCATACTGATATGAGTAATTAGTTTTAAAAATCAGCTTCGAACATTCTTGTGTTTTTCTCGAATTATTATTCAAGGCAGAATAATAATGATAATAAAAATAAGAATTATTCTTTTAATACGATGTATCAATGCCATTGTTCTTTCAGCATAGTTAAAAATCCAGTGAAAATAAGGATATAATTGTTTTTATCATTTCCTGATCATTCATGGAAGGCATAATATTGTTAATTTCTTCCCAACGTGGCTTCATATTTTGTTCTGTTCTTTTTATCTCCATATCGAGACTTGTTAAATAATAATTTCCGTGAAAAGATAAATGAATTCACAGTGTATCTTAAGATCATGCCTGTATTAGTGAAATAAATGTTTTTTTAAGCCTTGTGATTGGTTGATTTCATCTAATATTCCAGAAAATGCGCAGTCTTTTTTATTTAGTTACATAATTTATAATCTGATGTGTATATCTTGTGTTAAATTAAATGTACACAGTGGCTCAAATATCAAGAGCATTCTATTTTCGCGCCATTTTACATTTCAACTTTTTTCCATACTCCATTTTTATCTTCAGGTATGAAATAATTTTCCACTTATATGACCTTTTCAGCTCATTGTATGGCAGGCTTCGTAATAAAATTTGTTTAGATATTTGTATATTATTTTTAGTATACCTCGAATTGAATTATTTATTTATAATTTTTTATGAAGTTACCAACAAGAAAAAAAAGTAATCAAATTAAAATAGTCTGGTATTGGGTTGGGGGTGGGAGCACTTGGTTCATTCGAGCCTTTATCTCCTATCATGGGACTTTGAGTGACTTTAGTATTCTTTCCAATTGCCTTTTTTTTAGAAATAAGATAATAAAATGCAGTTATATTGTAAATTAGTAAAAATAGAGATTTTCATTTGTGCGACAAAATTACTAGTGTGCTTGGGAGTTCAAAGTTGAATAAAAAAATCAGGATTTTTATTCGGGAGTGGGTGAGGCCAATCTGGTTGCAACAAAGAAATCAGAGTGTGAGTTGAAAATAATTTGGATGGAAAAAGCTAGAATTCATTGGTGTCGAGAGGAGCTTCTGTGATTGGCTGACCAGAAATCTTCACGTGGCGGGAAAGTTAAAAAAGTGTACTAGTTTGTCATTTGAACCGTCAATCAAAATTACGAAGTTTGCTTTTGATAATCTTTGTGCAGTTCTAAATCCATATTTATTGAAATCTAAGGAAGCTTTCTAGATAAAAAAAAATAGTGTACCAAGAGACAGTGAATCAATATATGAAAAAAATTGCTCTAAATTTATAATTTACTATTGAGGTTAATAATGTAAAAGCAAAAGCCTTTTTAGCGCGTTTTTCACGTAGTGTTAAAAAAAAAGCGCTATTAGGACGCAAATTTCGTTTTCGTTCCATATTTTGTCGTACATTTTTCTCAGCCAATAATTAACCGATTGACCTCGGGTTTTTGGCATTTGGTCGAATTTGTGCCCTAGATGAGCCGAATCATATTTAAATTTAATAATTAAAACAATAATTTAAAATTTAAAATTTTTTTTTTTAAGTATAGTACTATTTTATGTTAGTAAAAGTTTATTAGTTGCATTATTGTAAAATACAACATGTGAAAAACGTGTTAAAATTACTTGGCCATGCCAATGATTGATATCTTGTTTTTTTATTTAGAGATTTCATTTTTCTTCAAAAATATTGACGATTTTTTTTTTCTTTCTCTGAAATTGTGTTTATTTTCAAATGAATGAAGTTCGCCCAATTACAGAAAGCCATTTATTTGTTCTTTGGATTTGCGAATTTGTTTACGTTTAGATTTTGTGCTGTTTACTTGTACCTAAGATTAATTTGTTCACCATTGTGACAGACGTATATATAAACTTTTTGAATTTGTTCGTCTATATTTATTTTGTAGATAATTAAAACATTTTATAATCTGTACTATATTGCGACATTCGCTTTGTTATGTAACAGACGATATTTCGATGAAGTTTACTTTTCGTTATTCGGGAATTATAAGTCATGAATACATTCAAAATAAACAATATATAAGAACAGACATCTTAAGAACAATAATATTTGCTTAAGTAATGGAAAGAAATTGAAAATTAGTCTGTAAATATTGATATAAGTTGAATACTATCATCCATATTTTTTAAAGAAAAATGTACCTTAAGGCCAGAAAGTATTTAAAATTTTAAAAACGTTGACTTGTTGGCTTTATAAAGTATTAATGATTTTTTTTCTTCTAATTTCTAGAAATTTTTAAGAATTACGTAATTTGACACTATAAAAATGTTTTGTAAGCTCATTTTGTGCCACTTTTTTTTAATTCTGAAACGCATTTTTTATTTTATTTTTGGTTCTTAATAGCCTGTGTTTCATCTGTATATTTTATTTTTGGCTCTAAAATTTGTGTAATGTTTTGTTCCATGCAACTATTGTGATCAATGAAGTTATATATGCATTTAGTTATAGATTTATTTGTAAAAATAGTATTGATTTAATGCATCATATATAACATAAAAATGAAAATTATCTTTATTTATGTGTAGTAATATTTCTTAAAACGAAAAGAATTATTAATTTTACTTTTATACTTGTGTGTGTGTGTGTGTGTGAGAAGAGAAATTTTATTTGAAATCGCATAGTCTTATCTTTTTGTCTTAAATATCGAGTTCATGAAAAATTTATACTTTATCTCTCGAAGCATCTTTAATAAAGCCTTATCTCAATTTTTTTTAATTGTCACGCGTATATTCCTGAAAAGAAAAACTCGGCGAATACATTCGAAGACCTTAGTAACACATAACAACGAAGCTCTTTTTCTCGATTCTTTCCTAGACAATGCCTCCATAAAAACTTTTATTGCTCTCTTTTCTTACAATGAATTACTGTTATCTTACCCATGACAGTGGACCAAGTCGAGGTCTTATATTACCGTAGCGCGCGTGCACAAAAAAAAGTGTTATTCTGTGTGTTCTGCTGTCTTAGTTCAGTGGATAGAGTTTGGGACACAACCACTTGGAGACCGAAGTGCATTTGAGTGGTTCTGATTCATTATCTTAAAATTGTCTCTTTTAAAAGCTTTTTCAAAAGGGAGTGGGCTATTCATGCATGGGGGGTTGATGTCTATGAGATGTTTTTATTTCCTTTTTTTGATGGTTATGTAAAAGTAAAAGCACTACAGACTGCATATGACTATTCTATCGTGAATAATATGTAGATACGGTCTTCGCTCATTGTTGAGTTTTTACTTTACACAAATTTTATGTTAATTCCGTCTCAGGTTTTAACCTTGTCTAGTTTTCTGAATATAGTTATTTTTAATCATTCAACAAAAGTTTTTATTTTCTAGGTAAAGTAGGTCTGAAGATTGTAAAATTCTGTCAGTCATCATAATATTTTTTTTTCTTGCCATCTTATTTCACTCTTGATTCCGCAATATTCTTCTTTTTTGAGTCTTTCAAAAATTTTCTCACACACGTATACAATAACTGGAAAAAATTCCGCAATCTTAATAAAATAATAATAATAATAATAAACTTATAAAATTTAGTCAAGAGTTCCAAACTTTTTTTTTTCGTTTTTAGTGACTATGTTTAAGAATTTCCGAATTTGTCACTATCAATTCGTTATATAAATTTAGTTCATGTTAAATAAAAAATTTAGTCCGCTCAAAAAGGGCTCTTGTAGCAAGATATGACTTTTACATTTGTCATTCCTGTGAAGCATATTTTATATCTTAATAATTTGACATTTTATGTTTCAGTA